CTGAATTTACATTATTCGCAGTACGACCAACCTGAATGGCTTCACCTCGGTGAATAACAGACATTTAACCACCTACATATCTCCTTCTGTCAAATCATATTTTTGCAGATACTTCGAAATGTCATCGCATTCCACAATTTGTTACTTCGTTAAACTACAACGCTCATCCAGAGCTTCTGCTGATTAGAGCAGGAAATAAATGCGCCTGTTCTATTAATACTATGCATGTTTGAAGCTGTTCCTTTCTCATCGGAAGCAGTGAAATAAACTGAGCACACTTTCTACTACAACTGTTGTTTGCGATGCTTTGTCGAAGATGATTAAATAATCACTGGTGTAGACTGGTCTCTCAGTCTTATATTTCTTCTTACGCGTACGAATACACAGTCTACCTATCCTTACGCTTATTGATACTGACACATTATGATGCACGGGAGCCGTTTGTTACGCCTTGTCAGATGTAGTATCATTTCAGTGTAGCCATTGACACCTATTGTGATTTATTTAACTCGGTAGATAACTGCTGTTAATGATACTGAATGGTCACTAGTTTATTGATAACGAGACAACTCCCTGTTCCTGTAAAATATATTAACATGCGAGTATAATGCAAATGCTTAAATACAAATGAATTAATTATTGGTTGGAACGTGAAATTTATGTAATTATACTGAATTAAATGAATAAGGAAATATCAAGATTAATCGAAATTGTGTGCTCCACATATGTACTTTCTTCCCTTCTCAAACAAAGCAAACTGATATTGCTGCGAACATCATAATAACCGCAACGAATATATTCAAAAGTTCCAACATCTTGTCAAACGTAGATGACGCCTTCCGAAGGCGCATTCTAAGTCCACATACTACACAAATCATAATCTAAAAATAAAAAATGGGGGTTGGAAATGAATCTGATATTTATAAATTCAGTAGAAAATCTGAGGTATTTATCACAATGCCTTTGTAAAAAATAAAAATTCTGGGGTGTGAGGCAACATAATCGATGGATCCTACTTGGAAGGATACTAAAACTCTATGAAAACTTTGTGACAGGATATCTGTTGCTGAGGAATGAGGCTAGAAAACGCATAGCGGTCCACTGTCACATAAAACTAGGAGAAGAGGGGACTCTGAGACAGTACATGTTAGCGTTTAGAGATAAAAAACCGAAAATGGGGCTGAATTCAGCATATTAAAGTCAAGAAAGGAGAAAGAAACTTCCAGCGCACATAATCAGCTGTAGGACAATAGGTTTCATGTTAGAGATATTTCGATACAACAAATGAAAAAATTATGTCCATATGAGTGGAGATCAAAACCGTTGAAGATAGCGGAAAGTGGTGGACGAAAGCAGATCATCAAAGAGATGGAACAGAGGCAACTTTAGCCAGATAATTTCAAGAAACTGATGAATAGACAGCCAAATGCAACTGGTCCAGATACACCACTACAGGAAACAGACCTGTTAGTGAATGCCATTCCACCAACAAAAACAGGAGTCGTGAAGATGATAAGGTTACTGACGGCCAATAAAATAACACAAAAATATTGAAACCTCGGTTGGCACTGTGATTACAGCTGGAATTCTCAACCAAAATGATCGCGTCACCATTATAGAAGGCGTAGGTTAATGGAATATTCTTTGTTGGACCAAAAAAGGATGGAGACTCCAGCTCAACGAAGAAATGGTACGCAACCATGCGTTTGACCTCTACAAACAAGGTTTTCAGCTGTATCTTCCAGCGAAGATTATACGGTCTCCAAGATAGAAAGTTTCGAGCAAAACAGGGTGGATTCAGAAGGCCAATAATATCTGGATACAACCGTAGCACAATTCATCATCACCAAACAGACCTATGAATGGTAATCATCTACCGACATATACCTTGTTGACTTTGAAAATGACTTTGGTACCGTCTGAAGAATGGTTCGGCGCAGCTAAGTGTTGCTCCATGAGCGTCTTACAATGCGATTCAAGTGATCGGCAAAAAGAAGCTCACTGAAACATGGTCTGAAGATGACTAAAAATCAGAACTAAGTGCTGCAAGTGATGGTTTCTCCGACTCCAGCGGACTAAATGATGCGAAATACGGTGAAGAGTGAAATGGTGTGGATAACTTGAACTGACGGAATACCCTAGATTATCTGGGTTTCGCAATCAACAACACGTCTGACACAAACTCGAAAGAATACAGATGGAATTTTACGAACTTTCAGAAAAGCTGGCGAAGGTGTGGCTTCATGTGAACGTAGATTCGAAAGGGTTTTCCAAACTCCTCAGGATGCAATAAAAGTGTCAACTGCCATCAATAGTAAAAATATAAAGAAAATCGGCTCCTTCAACTCTACGGCCTGGTAGCACCGACACAAATGATGTTGTGAGAACTAGGCAGAATAGGATCGGTTTAGGGGGCACTTATCTAAAATCAGTGTGATGTTATACAGCATTTAGTAGAACGTACGTCACCTGAAATCGCAGCAATATTGTGAAGTGCGTAATTGTATATGAATCAGAGACTTAGGAAATGCATCACTAAAATCGTTTGAAGCAGATTTCAGTGTGTAATCAGCAGGTGACTTCTCCGGCTCGATACTGGAGATCACATGACCACCTGGAGAGTTTAGGCAACAAGAAAGTTAGGGAGCTTACTAGTGGCCAAGAAAGTAATACTCAGTACATATATATTTTTTGATTTACACCTTGATTCCACACTGTATTTCGGTACAAGTATGGAATTTTCAGCATGGATATCGGTAGCCCAAATTTTGCAGGCCGACCATTGATATCAGGTGTGCGTCGGTGCTGGCTCGAACCCCGGACCATGTGCATGATCGGCGAGAGTCCTAACCACTGTGCCACCAATGAGAATGGAGGAAGATTAGATATTCGCTGTGAAGGCCACTTCGTGACAACTCGTACTAAGCAGGATATCAAGTGGAATATGAATCGAAAGCAACGGTTGCGTCGTTCAGTAGTGATACTAATAAGAATGAGAAGCCTGCAGGTTGTCACTTAGTCACTTGTGAAGGATAACAGAGAACCAATTAGGATCGAGATGTAGTGGTGAAGCACAGTTTTCCACTGGGAACTCCAGGAGTAAATAATACTGATAATAATCCACAGGAGTGTATACATCTGAATAGTAATTGTAAATAACGTTAAATACACCTCTATCTTGATAGACTTTACTTCAATCTTACAAATTCAACATGTTCTTTGCATTGCAGCAATAAGCTGAATATGTAATTGATGTGAAATATGATAGGAAATCTCATACATTTGCATTCTTCTATATTTACATTGATATACACCTCATTATTGTAAACTATTTGGTATGATTAGTTATGTGAACATTCGAGTGTTGCAATGAATTATACATTTATAGTTGTGGATGTTCTTGACTTTGAATTTCGCCCACAGCTGTTGCCCAGTCTACTTACAAAGTTGCGCATCAAATAAGGTGTGAATAGTTTAATTTGGCTGATGAGGGCACAATTTAACTCGACATAAGCAACACTGGATTTGATGTGAAACAAAGCTTACACTGACGAGCGGCAACATGATCAACAATAAAGTGGATGTAAAATATATATGGGACACAAAATGCATAAGAAACTTACAAGAGTTACTGCAAAACACACAAATGTATCGCCCAGAATTCTCACTTTTAACTAGAATGAGGAAAACAGTCATAAATAAAGAAAAGTGATTTGAATAGTTTGAAGAATTTTTCATAGATATAGTGACCAGATTAATTTGACTAATGAGGTAACGTGGAAATCGAAGTATCTTTATTTCAACTCTGACTATCGACAATTTATTCCACGTAATCAGGTAGTCAGGAAAGATTAGTTTGTTCTCTAGCTAATATCAAACGATTCCGGCTTAGCACTGATGCTTTCTATTTCACACAAATTAGTTACACTCTTGAAGACAGGATAATACGAATTCACGAATACGTGAGACATAACAATCGTGTGATAAACAATTATTAGTGTTCTCTGAGCTGGATGTTTTAGTTGCGGAGCTTTCGTCGTCCTTCTGGACAACATCTTCAGCGCAATATTTAGCATAAAGTGAAGTGATTTAAATTTCTTCATCAGTGATATAATTGCGTCTCCCGATAACCGTCTTTACATATGCATTGCATATTAATTGCATATTCGTTTGAGTACCAGGCTTCTAGGAATTCCCTGGCACTTTTGGTGTTTCCTCTATCTAAGATTTCGGCATTATCCCAATCAAAATGATATCCATAATTGTCTATATGTATTGATACTAAAGAATATATATCGTGTCTTTTCACGGCTGATTCGAGCTCTTGAATTCTTATTTGAAGGGGACGCCAAATTTGGCCGATGTAATGCTTGTTACAGTTCATCCAATTTATTTTGTAAATGGTATTAATTTTATCTCTTTTTTCTGTTGGATGTGTCTTTCGGTTTGCATGATATCGAATTAAGTGATTCGACTGGCTTGTGTGCTATATCTGAATCAAACAGTTTCAGTGTTCTAACTGTTATTTCAGGGATATTTCTGATGTATGGTAGGATAAATTTTCTTGTGGTCTTTGATGATGGTTCCTTGTTGGTGTTGTGATTCGACTTTGAACACTTTTTGATGAAATTTTGTGAATAACCATTCTTTTTGAAGACCGTTCTTTTCAACTCTGGAGTGCTACAGTGTGTGTGAACTCTTCTAAACAATGTCTTCACACAGTTTCTTTTGTGAGCAATTGGATTATTGCTAGTATAGTTGAGTGTTTGATTTGTGTGCGTTGATTGTCTAAACACTTGTGTTTCTAAATTTCTTGTGTTGGTTCTCCTGATTAAGACATCTAAAAATGAAATTTTGTTATCTAATTCTTCTTCTCTTGTGAATTTGATGTCTTCAAATATGTTGTTTATTTATTTATGTATATATTTTAAATCTTTTCTATTAGTTATTACAAATATATCATCAATGTAACGTACCTGTCAAGATTTTCAGCTTAATTATAGGTGGAGGTATTAATTCTAATCTTTGCATGACGGCTTAAGCTATTATTCCTGATATGGGCAATCCCATTGGTGTTCCTTTTATCTGTTCACATATTTGAGTATTGAATTGGAAGTATGTTGTAAGGCATAATTTTATGAGTTCTATCCACGATGAACATTGCGTTTTTATGTTTTCATTACTATAGAGTAATTGTTGCATAGTTTCTGTTGCTACTTTTGCACTAATTGAAGTATATAATGCTATGACATCAAAAGACACCATCATTTGTTTGTCTTCTACTTTAATGTTTTTGATTTTCTCTAAAAACTGGATTGACGAATTGATAGAATGGTCGCATGATTCTGTTAGATAATTTAACTTCCTGAAAAGTTTTTTAGATAGATTATATGTTGGTTTTGCTGGGAGTGAAACGATTGGTCGTAGGGGAATGTTTGGGTTGTCTAGTTTTAGCCTACCATAGAATTGAGGTAAAATAGGTCCGTTAGATTTCATTTGCAATTGATCTTGTTTTGTAATTTGTCCTGATTTCGTTAGTTTATCCAACGGTGTTCTGATTTTTTTATCTAATGTTTGTATTGGGTTTTTCGTCAACCGTTGATATACATTATTATCTTTGAGTAAATCCTCTGCTTTCTTTATGTAGTCTTCTGTGTATAAGATTACTGTAGTTCTTCCTTTATCAGCCAGTAGAATAACTACAACCTTTTTTATTCTTCAGTTTCTTCAATGCATTTCGCTCTTCATTGCTAAGTTGAGAATTATGTCTTTTATGTTTTTTTCAGTGTGTCGCGAATGCAACAGTTCAACTTTTGGAATTAACGCAGTTATCTCTCACACGTGGTAATCAGAATCTAATCAAGATTCTGTTGAGAAGAGCGATAATTTAATGTTTAGTCAAGAAGAATAATGTTTGATAAATATCCATAAGAATCTAATGTGTAAAAATATTTAAGATTTTCCCCAATAAAATATGAAATAAAATAGACGTCCATGATGAATATAAAGGGAAAGCCTTGATAACTTCATTTTGTAGAAAGCATCGCTATCAGTTGCAAAGTTGTCTACTTGTTGACGCTATAATTTCAAAAATACTTAATAAATACTTTTCATCCCGACCGCTCTTCAGGATTCTTTATCCATGCTACTTTGAGTAAATTCTTGCGGTTTGATTATTAACAAACCTGCATTCATTTCTTATGTTCTTCACTCTGCTTTCAGTTATTCGGTGCTATTTGAGTTGAAATAATTTTGAAGTATGACGTATACTGTGTAATGACTGGTCTATTTGAAGTCTCTGATAGGTGAAGAAGAACTGTGAAATTATTACTGATCCTTATTTTTACTAAAAATATATATTCATTCTTGACTTCCTCAAAAGATTAGCTTTTTTTGAATGTGTATTATGTTGTTTTTACCGTGAAACGTAAGAAAACGCTGATTCGGTATGTCATTACTAAGATTACTGATCAACGTATTCCAGTTGGAATATTTGTGTTTACTGCACACGTATAGTTAACCAAAACGTAGCAGTCACTTATTCATTCTGTGAGCGTAGTTGTCGTTGCGCACAACAGTTACAGATAGTCAGCAACAAATATGCACTGTCTCTGGTTAAAGAGGAATCTAAATATGCAAGTACTGAACTGTTACATAAAGAATTTCCTCTGTAGTTTGAAATTAACATATTCCAAGTGAGTGCCAGATTGATGTGACTTAAAGTGAATAATTCTGTGGATCACTTCAAACAGACCGATTTCTGCAACCAGCATTCACGTATTTGTAATTATCACAAAAAATTGTGCATTTTATAATTTAAAATACATTATCTGCTAACTGAAAATTAAGAAGACCACTCGAATGTCAAAGTGAATCACACGAATACATATTAAGTAGTTTACCTCAAAACTTCCAGCTATACTCTTGAAAATAATCAGAATAAATCCTGTAAGGCCAAGTACATATGCCAGTGAGACGAGTACGTTGAATGCTCTCGTTGTTAGATTATTCAACTTCCAAAACGAAAGTATTATTATCAATGAGACCAGAATCGTCGCACCAATCGAAATGCCAAGACTTATAGGATTCTTATAGAAAAACCCAGAACCCACGCAAAGAAGGTTAACCTGAGTGGACAAATGATAAAAGATTGAAATAGAAATTTTCATCCTCATATTGCAAAATAAAGAATAATGAAAGCAACATGTCTTCATAGCAAGTGACAAATTCAGTTTGGTCTTCATGAATTACCCAGCTGAAATAAGTGTGTATTTATCACTATTTTCTGTGTCGACTTCTTCACGGAATGACATTAGACAGATAGTCAACATGAACTGAGACTGACCACTGAGGAATACCAAATTAGAACTAAAATAGCTGTCTAGTCTTCTATTCTTCTTCTGTTCAGGGATTTACTCACTGATATTTAATTGTGACGACAGCTTCATTCAAACAATTTTGTTTGAACTGTATATTTCCTATACAAACCGGCATATTGCATTTCTTCAAGTCAGGTATAAGTTGTTTCATTGAATACTATAAGGTATTCATTGTTTGATGAATAAAGCCATAGAGAATATGTTGAATATGTGTTGTATATTTCTTGTTGAGGCAGGTACTTTGCTAAGAATGAAACCTCCCAGTGTGAGCAATATCGTGGAACTGATAAGAGTTTCGGCAGTATCCACCGATCCCATGAATAGATGACTGAATATTCCCCATGTTTAGAATATTTCACCCAATCAAGAAACTGTTCTCACAAGATATTTGACCCCATATTTTGTGCAGGTTTCACAAGTAGCAAAGCTACCAAGTTGACATTATAATGACAAAATATATTTTACGAAAGTGACAATGCTGAAAGTTATAGATTTAGGTATTTCATCCCGAATTCGTCCAATGATGACTGAAACTTTTATAGTCGATTTTTCTTGAGCACAGAGATTCAGAAATATGAAAACTTTCATTCTGTTTTGCATACGACTTACAGAGGTTATAAAGACCACTTTTAAAAAATTGTCTACACACATTTCAACTTACCACGAATACCAATAAAATGTAGTTCAGCGGGAAGGTGGTTCTTGCCTCCGCGATCAGCCGTAAAGCAGCATACAAACACATTCCGGACATTCTGAAAGAAGAGTCGAATGCGATAGTAATCTAGAAGTTATATTCTCACTGACGGTATGAGGCGTATTTATAAGGTATTCTCAAGTACATTGGAGTGAATGTGTTCAGTTCATCATTCACTGATAATTGTACGCTACTTGGCGGCTTAGAAAATATCTCACATCGTCGATGTCATGCACATATTCATAATGAGTAGTTGTGAAATGGAAAGGTAATATTCAATCTTGATTAAATTGCATATATGAGCGAGTAGAAATCAGTGTACTGCTCACTATAATAACAGAAGCATATTAAACTAAAATGTCATACTATACAAAAGAAATCCACTAGCGTGTTTACAAAGAAACTCACAGAACAACAAACAAGGTGATCCTCAACCTAAAGTACAAACAAAGGTCATTACAGAACATGATTTGTATATTACGTACCATGGATTTATCGTTTCCCAGTCATCAAAGATTATAATATGCATTGTATAAGCTGAAGATTGTTGAACGAAGCGTTTCTGTTTAACAGTTGGAAAGTGGCAGTAGCACCAATCTCTGTATATTTCTGTAGCCAACAAATAGTAATCATTAGATTTCAGTTAGTCCCCGTCTTTGAAAGAGTGATAACTAAAAAACTGCTTTGAGACAAACAGGCTGTCAGTTTAATTACTGATGAACCAATTCAAGAAATAAATGAATAAACTGAACACGCCTAACAGTTTTGTGCCAGTGGGAAGTCATATGTCTGAATATTTTGGAAATATCATTTCATTAAACATATATGAATACATAAATATTTCATGCATTGTATCTACCGTAGGACGACTAAAAGTGAATAAATTGTATTCTTCATCAGATGGGTGAAAGCGCTGTTGCCCGTTCCTCCCTTGAGTCCACATAAACTGACTGATGTTGCATTGTATCTGCTAGCTCAGAATATAACAGAATTTTCAAGTTGCTGGTGGCATATCCAGATATCGTAACAATGAAGCATCGTTTGCTCCTCAATCGCCAAATGACGATATAAATCTAAGAGGCTTTTTAAAATGCCATTTTGCAAAGAAATAAACCCACGGTTGGACATGTAGATTTTAAAAAACTTGAATGAGTTTATCCTTGACTTATCACTCTTACGATGACCTCGATTATTGTCGACTAATTCACACGCCTGAACCAAAATCTTATTAACCACGTTGGCATTTAATGATTGAGATTATTATTTCACTATATGCCCTATGAAAAATAAGAAACGAAATGTCCTCACTTTCACATATTTAGTAGCAGGTTTATTTCACACTCAGGGAACATTCGGATTTTCATAATGAAGCCTGTAATTTATTTACTGCAATTTTTCGTGTGAGCTTTGGCACAGTAAAAGATAGTGCATGAGGTAATTTGTGTTTCAAAGCATGATGGATATCTAGAAGACCCTTAGTGAATCACAGTGGTAAAAGCCAATATTTATTGTGTAAAACATTTCATCTAGGCCTTTATTAAATAAACTAGTCTCCGTGTACTATGCAGACACGTGCCATCTAATTTAGAATACAATTTTTGAAGGAACGTATTACCCTGAGATCTTTAAATTGCTGTGGAAGACATGAACACATGAAAAGTGTGTCTTATGTCATATTCAGTGAAGTTGGGGATAAAGGATATAGATATTTCAAATTTATGGTCTGTGTACAAGAATGGGTTCCATAGCATTGCTGTATAATTACAAAAGTGATTTATAGCTATTTCAATGGCAAATCAGAAAGCCTGATTTGATCGTCAAAAGAGTTGTATTTTTTTTCAGGTACGTTACGCATGGAAAGACTTAAGGTGGTATGTAATACGAAGTTTCATGCAAAATGTAATGAATGGAAATTGTCCTCAAAAAATCTTGAATGTCACTGAAATAGTGCTGTGCATCGGTGCCTGAAAGACTACGCGTTGAAATCCTGTTGGAATACTGTTCCCTGTTTTAGCTTCAATTATCACATATTCTGTCAATGTTATTCTGACAAAACAAGGTAATCTCAACACAGTCTCCTTAAGAAATTATTAATCAACGGCTTAGAGAAATACTAATAAATAATTTTAATGAACTCACAGGTTAGCCACAGACTGGTAGGAATGACTGAGTTCGTAGAATAACTTCAATGATATTTATAATGTATCTGATTATATTAATTAATTTTTAATTACAAATACTGTATAGGGTTAAAGTTTAATTATAACACGATAAAATCTGTTTATTGAGAAGATATAAATAAAGTTCTTAAGATGACCGAAGTACGATAATAACCATTATGATTATGTGTGTACACAGAATTCATAGATCTAATTTACATTGTGAAACGCGATTGTGAGTAAATTACGTCATTTATAGTCTACCCAATCAAAATGTATTCCCCTCAAAGAGTTACTGACATTTTGCCAACGACATATCTCTTTCTATCAAATCACATTTTTCAAACATTTCAAAGTTATTTCATTAGTTAGAATTCACGGGCCATTGAATCGGGTCCCAGTGACTTAATGGTCTACGAGCTCGATAGCCTTGTAACCAGAAGGTCCTGGTTTCGAACCCTGGTATGTGAGTACTGTATAGAGATCCAAAGTGGGACGAAACAGATATCCATTACTCCATGGAGGCCTTCCTAATGGTTCTCTAACTGATTTCAGCCCCTGAGTAAATCCTCCAACCAATCAAACATGATCCCAACAAAACTAATACTTTTCTAAAACACTAGAATAAACACAGACCCTTCAAAAGGATTAATTCCACAGTCTATTCCATAACAATAATCTCCGCTATCTCTGACTTACTCAATTTAGTGCAAAACTATCAGCTGCACTTTACAAATACACACGAATTAATCACCCTTCAAAGTCAACATTTGTGTGCGGATCCGAGACCTACCTGGAGCCGTAAAATAGATAACGCATCTGGACACGTCCAATTATTGAGAAAATTTAATTTGCTGGGACAGAAAACGATAAAGGGAGAAATGATGGCATTGTTGAATGAACCGTAAGACAATTAACATGTCGCTTTTCAAATGATTGATTTCAAAGGGTTAGTTCCTAGTAAATTTGAAGTGCGATAATGTTTAG